TTTGTCAAATTTTTATTCATAAAAATGCAGTTTCAACTGCTTTTTATTTTATAAAATCCGTCTTCTTGAGCCACCAGAGGGCCTTTTAAACAATAGGTAGTCTGTTAGCGTTGGTCAGTAGTAGACCAAACTCAGTACGAACGTTTGTTTCTTGAAAATTTGATCACGATTTAAATAAAGTATTTATTTTTAATATTACCGATATGTCATCGAAAAGAAAACGTGTTGTGTTATCATTAAAAGACAAATTAAAGTATTTATTTCGATTATCCGGATTTTTCCTTATCCGGACTACCTTCATCCCCAATTAGTCCGGATAATCGAGGTTCTACTGTATTTTACTCCTATGAGTCTCTACTAAGTGAGCAATTGTCAAAAATTGGGAAGACTAAGTTGATTACTAACTTTATGAAAGTGACTAATTCATTTTTATAATTGAGGTTAACAATGTTAGTGAAATGAAAAACTAAATAATAGTAAAAAAATTTTACTTTTTAACTGTAAAATAAAATATTGATTAAAACTCTAAACCTTTTAAAATGTGAATTTTCTACAGGTGGGACCAACTGCCATTCAAGTTACTTCAGCAGAAAAAACAAAAGTTTTGAGTCATTCTGTATTGCTTAATGATGTTTATTATGCCTCTGAAATTGAAGAGGTAAGAACATAGAAATTAATTAGTCAGCTATTTAAGTATTTTAAATATTTAGCTAAGTGATAATTTATTAATTAATACAGTTGATTCTTAAAAGTTTAGTATTTAGTTACTAAATTTGTATTCACTAAATTTATGAGAGACATGAGTTATTTTTTAATATAAAAAATTTATCAAGTATAGAAAATTGATGAATAAAACACATTTTATATGGATTCAACAGAAAAATATTTGTAGATAATAAAGTAAGAAAATAAATTTATAACTGATTGCCATATGAATTTATATAAAATTCAAAATTTAAATTTTGTAAAGTATAAGTTACAGATATATATTTGATATAAAAATGTTGAAATACATTGTAGAAATTTAGAGAACTTATGAAAATATTTGATGAGATTGAGAAATTCCTTAAAATTAAAATTGTCAGTTTACAAAATGTTTGAATTTTTGATATTTTACTTTTTTGAACAAAACCATTATTAAATTTTCAATTTATGAAAAAAAAAATTAGTTCTCCAAAGTTAGATTTCAATTAAACTTTAAATTTCTGTTTGATATAAAAATAATAAAGAAAATAAAATAAAAAAATTACAGAAGATTAATTTAAAACTGAATACATTTTGTTTAATCAAATTACCATAAACTAATAATAATGTATAAGAATCACATTTAAGTCATTATATCAATTTTTTAATGATATAATGTCTTAAATTTAAATATTAGTAATTTATTAAGTGTAATTATTAGAGATTATTAAATTTATTAGTGATTTAATGATCTGAATTTTTAAAAAATGCTATATATAACAATCTAAATTATTGAAAAATGTTAAAATGTTACTGACCATGTAAATGTTGTGATACTCTATCTAAATCTATAGATAAACTGTTATCAACTTTGAATATTTGATGTCAGAGTCAAAGTTTCTACATCATCTCTTGAAAATATTCAATAGATGGTATAAATGCTTTGCTGAACTGCTTTGCATATCAGAATATTAGGCTGATTATTTAAAAATCAAAAGTTCAAATCATTGCTCTGATGTTGAGTTTTGTTGTTGACTGTTAATAATGTTATTAATGGTAAATATTGACAATTGTTCTAAATATGCTAAATGGTTTGCTAGAATATGTTTTTCTAGAATTTTTGAAATTGGAAAGTAAAACTATATTATTTTAACTAAACAATTTTATTTCCATTTATTAACACTCTAAATTTCAAATAACACACATAAACTGCTTTATTGGAGCAAAACCGAGTAAACACTACTTTCCAAATACTTTTCTACTACTACAGCCTATTGTTAGAGGATAAGGACATAACAGAGTTATGGCAATATTCCCTGATGTTTATCACATATGTTTTAGAAAATGTAATGAAAATGTTTTTCTGCAATTTCAAATTTAAAACAAATAAAATTTAAAAAGTTTTAATGAAATTGAAAATATAACAAACCAAATATCTGTAGAAATATCACAGAACATAAGTTAATGAATCAGTTCTAAATAAAATTAGTTTAAAATGTAAGAAAATTAATTATTTAAAATGAAATATAAATTTTATTCTCATTCAAATAATTCAGTTATTTTATTTAATTAAAAATTTATAACTTTTTCATAAGGAATGCATATTTATCCATATACATGTAAGTAGATATGAATTATTCATCTAGCAATATCAAATGTTTTTTGCACAAAAATTATCATATTTTGTGTTTAATATTAAGAGAGGAAGAGTTTTTTCTCTTTTTTTACAGAAATGTGTCATATTTGGAGAGATGATAAAATATAATTTTTCCAGAAAAATTTAAAATTCTATTTTTAAATTTGAGCACACTGAAATTTTTAAAACAGATTAAATCAAATTGATAAGGAAAATTTAATAAAATTGATAAGGAAACAATAATTTAATAACAGCATACATGATAACATGAACAACCCAGGATATTTTCAATTAAAAATTGAATTATGACTATTTACAAAAAAATTTTAAATTTTTCGAGTCTATCTTTCATCCTTTTAACACACCACAAAAGTAACAGTATATTGGCTTGGATGAACTTCCACAGAACACGTTATAATTTATCACATGTTCTGTGGAAGTTCATCCAAGCCAATATACTGTTACTTTTGTGGTGTGTTAAAAGGATAAAAGATAGACTCGAAAAATTTAAAATTTTTTTGTAAATAGTCATAATTCAATTTTTAATAATTTAAATTAATTTAGCAGAGAATCATAAAGCAAATTTAATGTAATAGATATTTTAAATCTGACAATGCAATGGCAATTATATGGTGATTAATGCTTTTCCCATATAATGGATTTTTAGAACTATTTATTCTTTTATTATTTGTTGTTTATTTTCATATTATTCTAACTCTAATAATTTAATTAATTTTATTTTAGTAGTAGTAATTTTTGTGAGTTCATATCAGATTTCTTATTTTCATATACCTGAAAAAAATTAATATATACTAATGCTCTATTATTGAGAAAATGTTAAACTTCATCATTCTACAGATTTTTATAGTCTTGTTCCCAGGTATGCTTGGTTGACGATAATCAGTTTACACTAACTATTGCAAATGAAAGTGGACCTTTATCATTCATCCATAATGATTGTGATAGTATTGTTCAAGCAATTATTCACATACGTACAAGATGGGAATTGTCACAACCAGTGAGTTTTTTTTGTTTGAATTAATTTTAAATATTATACTTACTCTTACACACAATGAAGTGGTATAATAAGGCAATAGACTATCAATACATCCACTTTATTAATTGCCAAGAAAGTGGATGTATTGATAGTCTATTGCCTTATTATACCACTTCAATATGTGTAAGAGAAAGTAATAATAAAAAGCCATGGTTTCATTATAAGAAAAATTTAAATATTATAAACAAATTTAATATTCTGGCAATTGTATTGTATACTAATTTAGTTAATGAATTAAATTTATTAATAGGATTCTGTGACTGTACATACAAAAATCAGACCTAAAGATGTCCCAGGAACGTTGCTAAACATGGCCTTATTGAACTTGGGCAGCTCTGATCCAAATCTACGTAAAGCAGCTTATAATTTATTATGTGCTCTAACTGCAACTTTTGATTTAAAAATTGAAGGACAATTATTAGAAACTGCAGGTAATAATTTTTTTTTAATTGCATTTATTAAATGAGAAATCATAGTTATAACAATAATCAAAGCTAAAAAGTTTTAAAGATGCAACGATTTTATATTAAGCTTTTAAATTAATTCTAAAAACATATCAGTTGAACCAATTGCAAATACTTCAAATGAATATTGGAAAATATTTTATTGATTTTAGAAGATTTAATGATTCTTAGTAAATCTACTAATTTTTAACCTTTTTAATTCTAAATTTCATAAAATATTTTAACTAGAAAATCATATTAAAAACATAAAATAATTTTTTATATCTTGCATCATTTAGCTTATAATTATTTTAAAAAGTCATTGGAAAAGTTTGGCAAATGTTTATGCATAATTTTTTAAAGTATTTTTATAAAATAAAAGTATATGCTTATATATTTGACATAAAAATTATTTATTTTAAATATAATATTCTTATATCTTTAAACAATAAGGAATACTCATTTTGTAGCTAGTTAAGCAATTTATCAATGATTTAATCAAATAAAATTATTTTCATAAATGATACATACTTTACAAGATTAATATCTATAAGTGTGTTTGCTCTATTGGATGTGTTTTGATATTTTCTAGTAGAATGCATGGCCTTGTTTATATTACATATTTAAGCAACATTTATAAGATTAAAAGTAGTAGTAATAACATTATTTGATTTATTTCAAAATTTTTAATACCAAAATTGCAAAACTATGCAGAAAACTGCTTAAACTTTGAATTTTTTATAATAAAAATTTAATGTATAATTCCAAATATTTTTAACACTAAGATATATTTTTTTATAATTTAGTTTATATTTAAAACAAATCAAGTAAAAACATTTGTCATAAACATACTATGAGTAAAAATATACTTCAAATATATGTTAAAGCAAGATATTATTTTTATAGCCTGTCTGTTTTTGTTATCTGGTCAATCAGATTGCCAAGACAGCAAAGGCGTCTAACTAATCTAATCAAGTTGTACTTTGAGAGATCCATGTTTAAGTCCATATTGAATTTGCAGGATTTTTCCTGAAAATCCAACATGGTAGTACAGTTTTGTATCCAAATATCAATCAATATCCTGATTTTGTTGGAAGTCTTTTATATTATTATTGGAACTCTTAAATATGTTTTAAGTACCATTAATATATTACAAAAGCTACTTTTCTGTAAAATTTTGTGCACTGCATTTCTCAACATTCTGTCATTTTGCTGACTTAGTGAAACTGTAATAGACACCATTAAAGATTCCCTCTTGCTCTTCTATGAATAGCAAAAACAAAAGAAAAAACTTTGTATTATTATATGCCAAATACAAAGCTAAGCTTCACCTTATTTTAAAATTTATAATCACAGTAAGCATTAATTGTAATTTTTTAGTTTAGAACATCTTTGTAAATATTTTTTACACTGTAGTGAAATGTTTTAAAAAAATTTGGCAAATAATGTTATAATAATTTTATAATCAAAGTAGTTTGAATTAATTTGTAATTTATTTCTTCAGAGACATTAAAACTGTAATCAGTTTTAAATAATTATTATTATTTGTATAAATTTAAACATTTTTGGAATTGATTTACATCATATATTAATAATTAATATACAAAAGTCATTTTAAAAGTAAAGAACATTTGCTTCTCTAGATATTTTTATTTAAGATAATGAAACAAAACTTATTTTACAGCACATATGATACCTTAGCTATTTTTCTACATAGTCGCCATACAAATTTAAACACTTGTCATAGCATATCACCAGCTTTTCTATGCCTTTTGCACACTCAGTTACTGCCAAGTTCTTGAACCAGTCATTAATGACCTCTTTCAGTTTATTGTCACTTCCATAGTGTTTCCAGGCCAAAAAATCCTTCAATTCTGGGAAAGGATAGTAATCACTCAGAGCAAAGTTCGGGCTATAAGGAGGATGTTCAAAAACTTTCCACTTAAACTGCTGAAGCAAGTTCTTCGTCAACGCAATAGCATGTGGACATGCATTATCCTGAAGAAGCACAATATCTCTGGACAACAATCCCCGCCATTTGTTTCAAACTGAAGCTTCATTCATCACATTTCCATAGACCTTGGTTATCTGTCTGTAAATTTAGATAGGGTGGACTTTTTTCACACTCAAAAAGCATATTACACTACGAACCTCACACTTGGCGGGATCTTTAATTTTGTCACATATTTCAATGTCACACTGTAAACAGTAAATAATCATTGTGGCTCACAGTTAGCGTCAGACTGGCACGAAAAAATGGTCCATGACATGGCAGTGGGGGGTGGTGGGAGAACTGCATGGCTTGTCAGATCAAAATGTTCTTTTCTTTTAGAATAACTCTTGTATTAAATTTTATTGTATTAAAATTCAAAATCAGTTTTTATTAATGAATTATGTTTTAAAATATTAAATCTTTCATAACAAATTTCAATAATTTTAATTTTTTTTTTTTTTTGCATTTTCTTTTAGGTCTTTGTATTCCATCAAATAATACTATTTTTATTAAACAAATCAGTGAAAAATTGGCAGCAAATGCTTCACATCTGACATTGGAATTTTTAGAAGAATGCATTCAAGGTTTTAGAGCTTCTAGTATTGAATTAAAACATCTTTGTTTAGAATATATGACTCCCTGGTTGCCAAATCTTACAAGGTATTTAATTTATATGAAATTTTAGAATGGCTGACTCAATTTGCAATATGTGATAAAAATAAAATTAATAAAATCTTGCTATTTACTTTTAAAAATTTGTTTATTTAAATTTTTGAAAACTTATATCTAATAAAAATTATTGGAACTCTTAAATATGTTTTAAGTACCACTAATATATTACAAAAGCTACTTTTCTGCAAATAAAGGCTAAATATAGCAATATCAAATTTGTTACAATTAAGTACCATATTTTGTTGCTAGTTGGCAATGAACTAAGAATTAGGCAGTTCTTATTTGCAAACCTATAAGTATAATTAAGGAGGTTTCTTTTGAAGTTGTTTGATATTTAAATATTCTATATCCAGGGTGATAATCCACAGAATATCTATTAAAAGGCTGTCTCTCATTAGAGTAAGTGGTCTATATGCAAAATTTAAATTAATTTGTTGAATTTCCTATAAGAACTGATGAGTCCAAAATAATTCTTGCCTTGTTAAACACTTTTATTTCATAAATTACTGTTTAAAGAAATAAATATGCTTGACAAGACACGTGTTGTTTTGGACTAATCAGTTTTAATAAGAAATTCAGTAAATTAAATATTGCAAGGTAATTTCAGGATCGACTGAAACTTTAATTAAATAAAAAATTATTTCTGATACCAATAATTGTTTCATTTTAAATCACTTATATTCACATTAAATTTCTTGGGAACAGCAGAATTTCAGCCATGAAATTCATCATCATTGTTTGATTGCACAATAAAAATGCTGATTTTCATCAGCATTTTTATTGTACATCTCTTTGTATTTACTAATAGTAAAATCATCAAACCAATTATTTAATATTTTATCCTATTAAGATTTTGAATGGTTTTGAATCTTTTGTGGTTTAACCACTAAATTTTTCATATATCAATAATTGGATCTCATTAAATCTGGTCAATATCTATTGTTATTCACTAATATATATTATTGTTCAGATTTAATACCATATATTCTTTCCAGTTTTAGAGATTTTAGTGTTATGCTTTATGGTATTCTAAATACATTCATCTGAAATATTAAATTTTGATTACTACTGTTATTAATGTGTTTAGATTTAATTACTTTTTATCGTTCTATATTTCAGAGAGTAAAATAGTCATTCTAATATATTTTTAAACAAAGATATATTTATTGTAGTTTTTTTATATAAATTTGTTTGTATATATTGTATATTTTTTAGTGATAAGTAATAATTTGGTTTAAACTCTATTTTCAGTAAATCAAATTATTTATTTAAAGAGCTTTTTATTATTGATAAATTATCATTATTATTTTTTTTTTTTCTTTGCAATTTTCTGTATTTTTTCTTTATTTATCAATTTATAGATTTTCTGTTTACTTCATTATTATTTATTACAACTGACTTATTTTATAATTTTTGTTAATATTTTTTTGAAAAACATTGATATTCATTTGTTTTCCATATCATAGTTAAAATTCATAATAAATGTAATGACTACTGTATGAGTTTTTTAAGAATATTCATTTATAAATGAGTATTGTGCATCTTTTTATTTTAATTTAGGTTTTGTAAACATTCTGATGATAACAAACGTCAAAGAGTTGCTACTATATTAGATAAATTAATCACATTGACTATAGAAGAAGTAGAGGTTTGTAATTTTTATCTGTTATTTTTTTATGTTTGTGCATATTAAATAATTTAATTTAATTGATAATTTTTCTGTAATGTTTAGATGTATCCTTCTATTCAAGCAAAAATCTGGGGAAATATTGGACAAGTATCAGATCTTTTAGATATGGTTTTAGATAGTTTCATAAAAGTAAGCATATTGTTTTATTCATGTGTAGTTTTTATTTTATGGATTTCTCTAGTCTTTATTACATTGACAGCCATTTCCTGTAAAAATAGTGAATAACAAACTTCATATAAAAAAGACAATACAATAAAAATACAAAAATATGATATATGACGATAAAAACATAAAATTGTTTGTAAACACAATAACTTAAAAATATATCACAAGCACTAAAGAATAACCTAACAATAAAATACAGTGGAACCTCGGTATACAGCCTTAATCCGTTCCTGGTGTTTGGACTTACACCGAATAGGACGTATACCAAACCAACCTTTCCCATAAGAAATAATGTAAAAATGATTAATCCGTTCTCACGTAAAAAAATGGCTGGCTTTAAACACCTCGCTTTCCTCGCTAGTTTCTGCTTGATTTTTCATGAATCATCATGTATCCTTTTAACTTTCTCGCAAATAATTTCTTCCGATACGCTGTCGCCGGCACACTGTTTTTCAGTTATCCAAAGCAAAAGCAATTTCTCGACATGATCTAATGTCTTCGATCTCTGTTTAGAAATTGATTTAACCCCTTTCGCAACGTTAGCAAATTTAATAATGTCTTTATTTTTCACGATTGTCGATATCGTCGTTCTCGGAATACGGAATGCAACAGTTAAATCTCGAACACGCGTGCCACCTTCATATTTCTCAACAATCTCTTTTTTCAGTTCCGTTGTGATTCTAGTCATTTTTTTATTTTTCTGTTGCCCTTTTGCAATTCATGATTAATAAAAATAATAAAATGTTACTTACAAATTAAAATCAGAAGAAATTTAACAAAGTTATAAACCATAGCACTGCGAACGTCTAGTCTAGTGTAGTACACCGATAGTGCTACTTGTTCATAGATGGCACGTATAATTGAATTAAGTCGTATACCGAACAGAAGTCGTATACTGAGCAAAATTTGTTTCGTCCAAACAGGACGTATTCCGAATTGGACGTATTCTAAAGCAGACGTATACCGAGGTTCCACTGTATAATAAAATTTATAAAAATACATTAAAGATATTAATTAAAGGAATTTCTTTTAAATTTATCTATTAATCAAATGAAAAATACACTGCTTGTTTGAGGAAACCAAAAGTTTAGAATTAACCTGAATAAATTTTATTTTCTTGTTATTTTTAAACATTTTCCTTGAATTTAAATATGGTGATTCATATGCGGCAACTTTATCGGCACTAGCTCCTTCCCCATGTCATACAGCATTGTGAATACCAGTCCTTTTTTTGAAATTTGCAAATCAACCATGGCTGGTGCCATATTTTGTTCAATTTTATGAATTATCAAAAATCGTTGTAAATAAAAGATTATGAAGCTGTTCTATTTTTACAGTAGTCAGTTATTATAGTAAATAATACTCATTAAAATAACCTGACTAAATTTAACATTTTTGTTTTTGAACTTTTTTTTTTAATTTTTCATACTTTATGTTTTTGTTGTCAGAAATTCAAGTTAAAATGGAAATTCAGATGCAGTTGATCTGGTTTAGTGTAAAGAACATTCTATTCTGTTTTTCTTGAATTTTTTTTTATTCTGAGGTTTATTTGGTATAAATTTAAATGCTTAAGAACAAAAGGTTTCCCTCCTTCCTTGATCTAGTCACTCTGGTCATTTACTGATTTGTTTGTTTTGATCATTGAATAACAAAGGAGTAGAAAATTTTTTAATTAAGATTTCATCAATCTAAACTGTTTTCTTCACACATTTTATTATCATTTACATAATTGTGCTTGGAAAAATAGTTTTAAAAATAATTTTCTTATTTATTAGAATTAAGAGTCCTATCCTTAACAAATGCTTATTGATTTTTTTTTATTAACATGAAGCATCAGTGCACTATTATCTCAGTGGCTTATTTCAGATTTACTTATATTAACAACTCTGATTTAATACTTGATATTTCCAAAATCTAATTTGATCTTGAATCCATTATACTGTGACGACGTCATAGAATTAAGTAGATACATAGTAACAACTTTATTTTTAAGGTCTTTATAGACTAGGTGACTACATGATGTAATCATCTAGTCTATAAAGACCTTAAAAATAAACATTAGTAGAATCTTGATCTTGTAATTTACATTGAAAAATCAACATTTAATATGATGAATGAATGTAGATTATATTTCTTATACTAAGGCCAGTTGTAAGAATGCCTTCATATGAGAAATATGTATATAATAATAATTACATATTTTTCATATGATTAATATAGAAAAACTGACAATATGTATAAATTTAGAATTATTTTGTTCCACCATTGTCCTTCAAAAATTTTATAGGCAAACTTTACTACCAAATTAAGATAGGCATAAGCTTTTGTACTCTAGAACTATTATATAGTATATTTTTAAGATACATTTTGAACTTTTTGATTACTATTAGTGAATTATCTGATTACTATTGGATTATGTATTCTTGGAATCATATTCTGAATAAATCTGCTGTGAACTGCTTCCATATTGATTAGTAGTGATAACTTATTTTTATACCACAAGTCTTATGGCCAGTTCTCTTTGCATGTCTTTTTAAAAACATAGCCTTGGAAGAACTTTTAAGTTCAATAATAAATACTGTTTCTTCTGATTGATGTGAAATTCTCTTGCCTATTAAAGAGATTGTAAGTCTACTTTTATTAATTTTGGGTCTGTCTTCCAAAGCCCAACACAAACAAGTCAATGTTGTTGTTTTTGACATGGTGATAGAGGTGATTTTTATGGTCACATAACTGTTTTTCTTCAATGTTCTGTAATGTTCTGGTAATATTGCTCCTCGTGATATCACTCATTATGTAGTTCTAAAGAACCAATAAAGATTTTATCTACTCCTCTAAGAACTATTGCTCAGTAGTAATTTATAGAATGGTGACAATTAGCAACAACAATTTGTTGATGTTAGACAACAAAAAGAAGCAGCAAAGCTATTTGACAGAAATTTAATAAATAAATGAAAACTGGGACCTGATAGAGAATGGATTCACTATCATGATATGTACATAAATTATTTCACTGATTTTATTGAAATTATATTTTTTCTATATCTATGAAAATCTATCAAACAACTTTCTGTTTCATAATCCTATTGTAGTGAAGCCATTGCTGAAATGAGATAAAAATTACAGCATAAACACATGCAAGATTTGCTTGTGGCCTAAAGCACACATTTCTTTCTTGCAAATTTTCAAATCATTGCCAAAAAAAATTTTGTGTGTTTGATCTAAGTGTCATTGAAAAGACCATCTATCTTCCATCAAAGGGTATATAGTGAACCTATGACAGTCAAACGAATTTTATTTAGCCTCTGACCAGTTTGCTGCAATGTCAACTAATTTTTGCAGGGCTTAATATGTTCAATTAGACTTTCATAATAGTGTTCTTTTCTAATGATGGTTGATATATTATCTTTGTTGGATACTCATTATTAGATTATTCTGATTTCTCCTTTTTCTGTTTTTACATAAGAAATTTCGTAAAATATTTTTTAGAATGATTTGGTCTGTTTGCTTTAAATTTCTCTCAAGACTTATTTATTGCCTTTCTGACGTTGATGGTAAACTACATATTCAGTCTAATTTGGAACATATTTTAACATTCTGAAAATATTAATTCATTATTAAATTTTTCTAAATTATTTACATTTAAAACATTTCACTTCTTTTTATNTACATTTTTTCCATGATATGTGGTTTGAGAAACGTTGAAAAATATTCTAAAAATTTACAATTATTTTTATAGACGTTAGACTCGTAATATTTCAACATTTTTATAACATTTTACCGTGTTGGAAAAAATTGTTCTTATACGTTTGTATATATTTCTTAAAGGACCGTTACATATGTATAAAAGTAATGTATACAAACATTTGTATACATTACTTTTATACATCTGTATACATTTTGAAGTGTCGGAAAATGTATATACAGTATATTATTTTAATTTGGTAAAACATTTTTATATTTTCCCCATATGTATTATAGAATTCTTTAATTAAAAATACTTTTCATCAAATCAAGAAAATAAAATGTTTATCCTGTATATCAAAGTTAATTTAATTTTTCTTCATATTTTACGAAATATTTTTAATTTTCAACAGCGAAGTGTAACAGGAGGATTAGGTTCTACACAAGCAGAAATTATGGCTGATACTGCTGTAGCTTTAGCATCATCTAATGTCCAGCTTGTAGCAATGAAAGTTATAAGTCGTCTTTGTAGAGTAAGTTCACAATTAAATTATATACGTATAATGAAATTTAATTATAATAAATTATTAATTTAATGAATTAATAGAAGGAGGAATAGATGTTAAAATTAAATGTTTGTTTGCAAATATGTTTTGGAAAATTATAAGAATTTTCTAATATATGCATTCTTTCTCTCTTATTTTTATGTCTATATTTTTTATTATTGCAAAGGGAACCAAGACAATGTAGAGATGTATCAAATTTCTTCACATATACAGAACAAACATGATGTTTAATTACATGAATAAAATCTACAGAGTTTTTCATTGAAAATCAATATCTAATTTTTTTATATTGTAAATTCTTATGCATACAGAGGTTTTTTTTATGTGGTAATTTATTTAGTAACTTTACTAATTTAAATAATGTTCAGGCTTCAGCTAATCTCAACAAAAATATGTAAATAAAGTAATTTTCATAATTTTTGACATCAGATTTGGGTAGTTAATAGTTATTTTTTGTACATAGTAAGAACAAACAAATCTATATATTGCATTATTGAACTATCCTGAAAAATATAGTATGATCTGTTGCAGAAAAGTTAATTAATTGAAGTTCTAAATATTAAGAAATGACTGATACAATAACTTGCAAAGAAATAGGATAATTAAATTATGCTACTAAAAACAAATAATTTTCACTATGTTTTAATAATAATAATAATAAAATTCTATTTTTTTTTAAATTTTAATTTATCTGTGTAAAATGAACAAAATAATTATGACATTGTTAAACATTTATGCACAAACAGATGCAAATTTAAATGTGTTTCTGTGGATAGTTGTCTTAATTTCTAGTAATTATTATTCAAATATATGTTCTATAAACACAATTCATATGCAAGTTATAATTTCCAGAATCATTTTTTGTGATTCCTCTTACAGTTAATGTCATGTCAAAAAATGTTTTTAGATATTTCAGTATTATTTATCTTTATATCAAGTTCATTTCTGATGTGTATTATATAGTTATTAGTAGTTTTTATAGAAAAACTTAAAAGTTCATATTAAAATAAGATGAAAACTTAGAGTAAAAAGTATTTTTCCAATTCATTTGAATGAATTGAGATTTCTCTAAATTGAGACTTTACTGTAGATATCATTTGGAAAAAGTAAATTATAAAAATTACAATTTTTTTTGTTTTTTGATAAAATATAAATATAAATAGCAGAAAAACAGTTTACTATATAATAGGTTGATATAAAAAGAAAGAAAGAAAATGAAAATTTATAAGTTATAAAAATACATTGTAAAAAATGAATAATGTACTATATAATTATAAAATTGAAAATATATTTTAAGATATTTTGATAGACTTTAAAATTTCATTACATATAACAATTTATAGTTTTTGTAAGTATTGAATATATATGTATAAAATTATAATATATTTTAGAAAATAAGTTTTGAAATAAAAACAAAGTAAAAATAATATCTTATTAAGCATGAGTATACATATGCATCAGTAATTCTATTTAATAATTTAAAAGATCTTTTCAACTGAATTATTCTAAAAATTTTATAATTTCATTTATTTTAGGTTATAGAGAAAACTTGTACATCCCCAACCTCAACATTAGAACAGCATTTAATGTGGGATGATATAGCAATTCTTGCACGATATTTATTAATGCTTTCTTTTAATAACTGCCTAGATGGTAAGGAAAAAGTTTGTTTTGTGTTTTAATTCTATTAAAATATTTAAACAAATGTCATTAGATGAGAACTTTATATTAAATATTACTTGATTAGATGAAAATTTAATATAGTAAAAATCATTATAAAATATATGAATTTTAATGAAAAATATTGTTACATTTTTTTGTTTATTTATGTTTTTATGTTATTTAAAAATTATTTATGTTGCAAATTTGTTTATTTTTTATACTTTATTTTGTATTATTTAATAGAGTACCAATGGACATGAACAATGGATATTAATTAGTTTTTTATCAGTATTTATTTATTAATAATTAAATATTAAATTAATATAAGAACTGAGATATGAACAACCTGATGTTGAGAACATAGTTTTTTTTTTTTTTTTAATTAAAGCTTGTTTCAAAAATTTGTTATAATTGATGACTAAGCTGGTAACACAGCAGGCAATACGATTTTATAAACAAGACAGTCTTGTCAAAAATTTAAACATACAGTAATGCCTTATAGTTTCAATTAATTTGTTCCAGGTTAGTGTTACCACCCGTCCGGTTTTCACCCGGACAGTCCTGGAATTGACTCACTGTCCGGGTGAACTATTAATTTTGTCTGGGAATTTTGTAGAAATTGTGAAATTATGATGAAACTAAGTTCTTGTAAATATTATTAGAAATTTACACTATTTTAACCACAAAAGAAACTTGCACTCACTGAAACTCATTTGCAGTTCTGCCATGTTAGTCTGTTTATGCCGACGTGTAGCATGCAACCTGTTCATTTTTTTTCATGTACGATCATACACATCTCCAATATCCAATAGAGCTAAGTCATCTGTACCTGTTCTTAATTTAGGGTTACTTACATTACTCTTATGCAAGTCCCTAGTCCCTAACTGTAACTGATTTAGAACCAGCATGCACGTTATTCTTTGCATTGCAAAATGACATTGCGCATGCATCAGGAACTTCTGTTTGAACAAACCTGACCTACCATCTGGGTCAGCAATTTTGAAAAGGTGGCAACACTATTCCAGGTGGCCATTCAAATTCTGAATTGTTTGAAGTCCAGATCAATTTTCTCATTAGAAATAGCAGAAAGTGAATTAATCCATTCCCACATCCTAAATGATACTTATTTCTACAAAGTTAAAAACAGTAAATACACATAATTTAAGGTAAAAATAACAATTAAATGCCCTAATAATAAATTTAAATATGAAAGCAATAAATAAAATATGTAAATACTATGTAATAAAATGAAATTTGCATTTACTGGTCATGCACTGTTGACTTTGTCATCTTAAACATGGCTGCCACTCATGTACTGCAGATAAGTCCCTTTTTCACCTCAATCATGAATATTACAATCTATCTTATGGAATTTGTTGCTTCCACACACTTCTCTGATGACATGGCTAATAAATAAAGGTTATTTTAGGTTGAACAGAAAGTTTTGTGTTTTTTTTTAACAGCTGTTGTTACTTAAAATAGATGTGTGATTTAATTATAACAGTTGTGAAATTTAACACATTATTGCTAATGTGAGAGTGTATTCTTTGTTTAGTAGCTCATTTTAAAGTTTTACTTTATATGTTGTTTGAATAAAATGAAGTTGAAATGTCTTCAGATAAAAAGGAGATAATCATACAAACAGTAAAAAACTTCAGTGGATATGAGAAGATACTCCTAAGCTTAAACATGACAAATGGATTTTAAAAACTTCCATTTAGGAAATCCTGAACTAAAAGGCACACAATATATAGGATGCTTAAAAGCTGTGACAAAGAAAACTTGCATGAAGAAATTGTTAAAGATTGATAAACAACAAATAATATATATAATCAAACACACCAAAAATAAAACAAAAAATCACTGAAAATATACAAGTGTAATTCAAGAACAAGAGTGACAGATGACTTGGGTGCACAACAGATTCATTTACATTTTGAGCACATTTTTTTCATTGCATGTACAGTTTAAACTTTAAAGTTAGAGATGTTTGAAATACATGGTACCACTGTATATATCTAATATTTTCTAGCAGTCAGTTTTTTGGTAATATGATGCTGTTGATGTCAAATGAAATGAATGTATTATTTTTATGATATACAGTTAATATTTTTGAGTAGTAATATATTTGAACATTAATAATGTTTAAATAAAACTGTTTTGACTCTTTCACATGCAATGAATTAATAAACTTTAAAAAAAATGGCTTGGATGTAGGAGTCACTGATCTTTTTTATTGATTTAGAGCTTTTGGATCTAATAATTAAAAACTGTCTATCTTCAGAATCATCTATTAAAACAAGAATAAGTGAAAAACAGACTAAATATAATACATTTTAAAATTTATTTTGTTAATAACTTTTTGGAGTGTATGTGTATTATATTTAGTTTATTTTTCAATTATTTTTGTTTTTTTTAATAATTGATTCTGAAAAAGAATGGTAAACCATCTAAAAGATCTAAATAATCAATAAAGATCAGTAACTCTTAGAATCAAGCATTTTTTTAGTTCAGTAATTCATTTTAAAGTTAAAATTTTGTTTTAAAAATAATTTTTTTTTTTACAGTGGCCAGTCATCTTCCATATTTATTCCATATTGTAACATTATTGGTTCACACAGGTCCAGTTTCACTAAGGGCATCAATCCACGGTTTAGTAATCAATATTATCCATTCTTTGTGTACTTGTACAAAACCATCTTTCAGTGGTAAATGATCATTTTTTTATAATTTTAAATAGATATTTAACCTTAAGTTTAAAATAAACATTTTAACTTTATGTGCATTTCTAATCACATGAAATTCTGAAAAATTTAAAAGATTAAAGTTGAATTTATTTGAAATTGCTGATACTGTTATTTCTGATAAGTCACATAATTGTTTTTGTTCATGCAATTCATTAGTTTTATATATATTATCTTTCTATAATTCTATTTAGTTAGTGATTCAAATATGTAGTATTATTAATAATTTGTAAATATTAACTTATCTTTAGGTGTTGTACAAAAGATAACTATCCTTTAAATTGTTTAAAGGATATCCATGTTTTGTATAATACATGAGTCAGCAATAATATAAAAAACAAATGTGTTTAAAGATGAGAGTTATTCTTTCTGATTGATCTGATAAATTGTTTAATTAGAAATAATTGGAATAATTTATAGATTGTTTGAATTACTATATTCTCTAAACAGTATTGAAACTGAGTTACAATGAAAATATGCTGCTTTATTTACTGAACAGAAAAAAGCCTTCAAATTACTTATTTTACTAAAAATAAAATAATAAGGAGATTTCAGATATTAGTCTAAACATATAAATATGATACTATGTGAAACTTCAAAAGTTTAGAAAACTTATTTTTTATTTATTGTATGGTACTATATGAAAATTTTTAACAGAGAAAACAAAAGATAGTTATATAGCAATTTGTCCAATTTCAGTTAACAAACAAATTACCATATATTTTTCTATTATGTTTTATTGGTTTAGTTTTACATATAGATTATTACAATTTATTTAAAAATAAACAATATTAATATTATATATTGGTTTCTTTGGCATTTATAAATCATATAGTAAAATATGTTGACACATATTTGATATTCATCTGATTAATTAATAAGAAGCTGGAAAAAGATGTGAATGATTCTTTGCTTCAGTTAAAAACTTAATGCATTTTACTTTAACGTGAAGGGTATGAATTGCTTAACATTGACATCACACAATAATCAAACAGAAAATAGGAAAATCCTGATCTTATTGTAGAAATGAGAAATCTATACAAGTACAGCAATATTTTTTAACACAAATAAAATATTTAATATGCAATACAGTATTACAAGAAAAATAAAAGTATTTATTTTTAGCATACTTGACAGTTTTAATTTTAAGGTTTAAAGAACATTTCAATATTAGTAAGTTTCTTCCAAAAATCTATTACATAATTTACATTTACCAGTACAAAACTTTATTCAATTTGCAAAAAACAGGTTACTTTTTATCTTTTACATATAAGGAAGGCTATTTTTCTATCATCATCTAAAGCAGGGGTGGCCAACATGAGGCCCGCGGGCCGCATGCGGCCCGCCGTGAGTCGTGTTGCGGCCCGCGGAGCTAGGTCAAATGAACATAAATGTTAACTTTATTGTACATATCACCAAATGAACATTAGAAGAGTTAAGAAGGTTTGGAAGAGTTCTATGAAACGTATTTGGACAAGGATAAATATATTGCGTTTTATAAACATGCTCTGTCACTGGTTTCGCTATTTGGAAACACTTATGCGTGTGAACAACTTTTTAGTCGTATGAAGTACATCAAATCACAAGTGAGAACACGAATTACTGATGTTCATTTGGAAAACTGTTTGCGTGTAGCGACTACATCAGTCCAGATCAATTTTGATGCACTTACTTGTTAGTTCTGTAAAACAAAGTCAGATGTCTCACTTTTAAATATTTTTAAATTGTCTAATAAATATGTTTCTCGGTTATTAAATAAATGATTCTCGGTTATGTTTTATTTTCTTCAAAAAAATAAATATACCT